AACTCATATTATGAGTTTTTATATACCTCCCCCCCCCCTCTGCTGGTATAAAATTTTCTTTACTGCTCAACAGCTTACATCCAGCAAAGGTTTGAGCACTGCCAACAAATCGGGCTGGCTCCACCTCATTGCTCACGGTTTCATCAGTTGATGTAAAGGAAGGAGGATGGGTGGAGGACGAGGACGTAGACAGGGTGGAGTTTACTGAGTTTGCATGCTCAGAGCTGCTCAGGGGGTTATTAGTCACTGTGTCCTTCAGTTGTATTATTGCATCTGTGGATGAACATGAAGGGCATCTGATTAGATTAGGAAAGACTTGCTCCTATGGCATTGGTCGTTATGGTTGTAATTTGCAAGTATTTACACACAGAATAATAAAAAAAATGTATTGTAAAATAGGACAAAAGTAATTGGACTGAAAAATATTTTGTGTAGTTTTGTATAAAACCATATAAATGACATTAGTCACAGCTTAGTCAAAAGTGCACTGATCAGTGATTTTCTTTAACAACTCACCTATTTCCAAACCTTTTTGCTTCTGACCCATAAAATAACACCCTCACAATAACCCACTTAGCTTTCGAGGCACCTTGAGGCTCAACATGCATTTTCCAGATATTTTCATTTAAAAGCAAATTGGAAATAAAACTTTTTGTGGGGACAAATCTATGAAAATCAATGTTCATCTTAATTATACCTAGTCAAAGGTGTAATAAACTGTAAATATCCCACTTTGCAATCTATTTTGGGAAGACATTGCATGTTTTGTGTTTTTACATCAGAAAACTTTGGGTTTCTTATGACAAGAGTGCTTAAATCAAGGCATTAATCACCTCATCACAAACTTGAGGAATAAATTAGGGCGTAAAAATACAAACCTTACCAATTATTATGGCAGTTTTCAAACTTGTAGTCGTCCTAAAATTAACTTTTATGTTGAACAACTTGGGTTGGGAACCACTGATCATACCAACGAGCATCTGCTCTGCTTTGTATTGCTGCTTAAGCCATAAGGAACATAGATGAATATGAAGAACGTCACAATTATATGATACAACATGCGCCACTTAATTTGCAAATGAGTAGAAAAATAAAGTCATACCTGATTCGTTAAAGCAGAATACATCAAACCGGTTTGTTACGGGGGCTCGCCACAGCACCAGTCCAGTTTTGTTTTGGCCACAATTAGCCAATGCGTGAATTCGAGGAATGACTGCAATTTGCTCATCAGTCCAACCATACCTGAATTACCCCAAAGTATTATGTCAGGTATTTATTTTAAATTATGCTGGGCAGTCATTGGAAAGCATTGCTGTGGTCTGACCTGCATGTTTCCAGACCTCTGCTGAGAGCTTCCTTCACCTGAGCCTTCGAGGCGATGCTGAGTCCGAGGGACTGACAAATCTTCCGGGCTTCAGAGGCATTGAAGGCATACTGAAGCTGGTTTTGATTGTTTTGGTAACTCACTTGGGTTACGCCAGCTGTGCTCTGGTTGGCTGCTGGGAAAACTGGAAGCAGCAAAAAGTCACTTCAGGTGAGAAATTCTGCTGTTGATTATAAATGTAACAAAATAAAGATCGCTCACCTTTTATGTTGCTTGTGTTTTGATCAGAGAAAACAGAAGAAAAAGCCAGAAGCGAAGAGATGCAGACCCAGATAATATTCATGACTGCTGAGAGAAGAGATGAAAACGTGCTGGCGAGAAGGCAGTCTTGCAGAGATTGTGTTCATCAGCCAACTCACTCGGTTAAATAGAGGTGAATCTGTTCTCAGGGGTGTGCTGACTCTGTCATTGCCAGAGAGTAAAGGAAAGGGAAGAAGGAAGTACAGAGTGCAGGTCAGACTAAGAGCCATCTTATGCTGCAAGAGAATGACCCAGGAGAGAAAAAGATGTAGCTAAAAACCTCAATTGAGAGGGACTTTGAAGACGTTTACTGGAAAGTAAACAAGATTTGGTCTTTAATGGTGATATTTTAACCCTGCATAACTCAGTGTTGTAATATTACAATATCTGAATTTCAAACAAACAAAACAAAATGTACAAATGTTGATTTTTATTCAGTTTTTTTTTTTTTTTTTTTTTTACTTGGCAATTTTCAAATAAGTTCACCTCACAGCGTCACAAAATATCACAACTTGGAAATCCTTAAAGAGCAAGATCTTTGTGATTCACTGTACCAGATTTTTTTCTTAAAGTACATAAAATGTCTTCAATATTTTGGGTGATTGCAATGTAATCAAATTATAATTTCTAGAACATATATAATGTCTAGAACATATATGTAATTTTCATGCAACACTTTTACAAAATGCATGTTAATTTTTATTACCAAGAAGTACCTGAAAATATATTTTCATCTACAAAGTACTTACAAACCTTTTCATTTTCATGTTTTTCTGTCTGGGTTTTCCTAGATTGAGTGTTAAAAAAATAATACAAAGGTTAATATTCAAAGAAGATTCAAAGCAGGCTTGTGAAATCATCAACTGTGAGTTTGAAATTTTCATTATTTCCAACATCTGAACTCGTACTCTTTGCTCAGGATTTCCTCCCTTGAGGCGTTACTCTATCTCAAATGCTCCTGTTATCTCTAGTATCCGCTGAGCCTTTGGCACACGACGACATCCGAAACATCTCTGCACAAGGCCTGTACACCAGGAAATGACGCAAAGCATGCTGATGGAGACTTGGAGGGTTCTTTTTGTGGTGAAATGTCAGGAAGGTGAGTGAGGATGATAAATGACGGCCTGAAGCAACAGAAGCCCGAAGAGACTTTTGATTTTTCTGACCTTATAAATTTGAACTACCACACCAAATGGTTTCTTACGAACATTGGACCACTAAAGTGAGAAGTAGACTTTCTTACATTTTGGAGAACTGGGAGCAAGAAAATTGATCCTTTTCCTGATAAATGTTTTAAATAAAAACAATTGTGTGGTAACCCTGAGATGGGACTGGCGACCAGGGTGTACCCCACCTCTTGCCCGTTGACTGCTGGAGACAGGCATCAGCACCCCTGGCGACCCCACATTGGATAAGCGTGTGTGTTAATGGATGGATGGATGGATCGAATTGTGTGGTAGTAAAATTATCAATGGCTTTTTTTTCATAGCACACCGAAGTCTGGGGATTTCAGTCAGAAACTCACATTAATGCAAAACCTCTTTTTGTGAGAAACAGTGTTGAAGAAATGGCTGCAAGAAGCTTTGAAATGACCAGATCATCCATCCATATTGTCCATGCGTGTTTGTCCTTACAGGGTCGCATATCTGCTGCCTATCTCCAATGGTCACTGAGCGAGAGGCAGGGTGCACACTGGACAGGTCACCAGTCAATCACTGGACAACACAGTGAAGGAGAAAACACAACTGCACCACACACCTAAGCACAATTCAGAGGAACCAGTTAACCTTACAGTCTTGTTTTTGGATTGTGGGATGAAGGTGGAGTATCCAGGGAGAACTCACACATGCACAGGGAGAACACTTCATGCAGAAAGAGTCTAGGCTGGGATTTGAACCCAGAACCTTCTTGCTGCAAGGCGACAATGCTTTGAACTGCTCCACCTTGTGGTTAATGACCAAATTACTGCAGATTATGCTTTAGTCATGGTATAGATTGCGTAGAAAAGTTTTTTTACTTGTATGTTCTGTGCTACCTTTGGGTTAGTAAGTAATATAAGTAATGAGCTCCTGTGGTTGGGCTATTTCCAGCCACTTTAAAGCTATTCATCCTTCATATTGTTGTAGAGTTGCTGCCTTTTGCTGAAACAGGGCAGCGCCATCCATCCACTCATTTGATCATTTGTTTTTTTTCTTCCATTTTTCTTCTTGCTTACTTAGGGCACAATAGTTGCAAATCTTTAACTTAACTACCTTTAAATTTGTCATTTGTGACATACATAGTGCAACAAATGAAAAATCTCTATACAAGTTTGCAGGAGTGTAACAATGTCATAAAATATTTACACTAAATTTCACTGTCACATAGCATAGCTTCAGCTCTTTCTTCTACATCTAAAGAAACCAGTTTTTCTCCTGATATGAAAAAAAAAATACAGTTTCAACTAATACGTTTAAATCTGAAAAATCTAACTTGTAGCAAAAATGATTTAACTTAACTTTTGTAATGTTCACTATGCAAATTATTATTGGATTACATGCTGGCATAAATTCTGGCTTAAATGTTGGCAGGGATCTTTCAGTCTGGAGCTAGCATGTTTTCCCTATAAATATATTGATTTTCTCCATGTGATTTGGTTTTGTCCCACAGTGCAACAATATGTGTGTGAGGTCCTCTTTGAATTTCACTTTGGTGTAACTCTCTAAGCCCTGTGATGGATCAGTTAGAAGTCAACGGATCACTTCATTCCTCCCCTGCATGGCATCATCAGTCTGTGTACATAGAGGAAACTGATGGACGTATGAATTTTTTAATAGATTTTCTGCATGTGTGTGATGGTAGTTCAGGGGGAAGGGTTTGATTATCCTGCAACTGGTAGGTTGCTGGTCCGAACACCTGCTCAGTCGTTGGGTAAGACACTTCGCCCGCCCTGCCTGCTGGTGGTGGTCAGAAGGCCTGATGGCGCTGATTGAATGGCAGCCTTGCTTCTGTAGCGCTCCACCGTCAGTGTGCATGAAAAGATGAATGACTTGATAAAGCACTTCGCATATGCAGGCAATTTAGTCTTTATGTTGGGTCTTCTTGTAGAAAACTTTGATCAGATTTGATGTTGAATAAAATTATAATTACTACACTTAAGTATAAAATTATTTGTAGTACGAGTTCTTACAAAATATGTGCTGTTGAATCTTTCTTTAAATTATGTACAACAATTAGCTTTACAGTACGAGCACATCAAGCAGTTATGACATAAAAAAGTCTAACACCATTTGACTTAGTATAATTTTGTTTGGATATTGTTACTCCGTCTATCACCCATTGACTGATAGAGGCTCCAGATGCATGGATGGATTAATGAAAGTTATTAAAGCACAGATTCATTCTTAGACACCTTTTATTTAAAAGGTAAATTAGCAAAACAGTTCTCAACCCAGGCACTCGGGATGGTAATCTAAAAAGTGCTCTCATAAACAAAGGAAATCTGTCAGTGACCCAAATCTCAAATCAGACAGTCTCCAAATATTGCACTAAAAGCCTTGTTTGTATGTGCTTATTTCTAAACCTTAAATGCCCTTCACAAAACTTAACCAACAAATGCAAAAAAAAAAAAAAAAAAACCTTTAAATATAAATAAAAAAATCTGTTGTGTAGAAATTTCTGATACACATTATTTTTTTTGCTGTGGCATTTTAAGGAAGGTGCCATATTTCAAAGTACCAAAGCTAGAATGTATTATTACATATGCACCTATGAATTAAATAAGTTTAATCACACTGTATATTTGGTCCCTAAACTTACCACCAATAAACAGACAGCAAACTTTCCATTCTAAACAAAACTACGAATTAGCGTAGAAAAAAAAAAAAGACATCCTCTATAAAGCCTCCAAACCAGTTCCTGAACCAGTTCCTTCGATCAGTCTTTCCATTCAAGTGTGTCCGTCCGTAACGATCTGCTAGAATGGTGAAAACGTGTCGTTCAGCTCCTCTGTTACAGACGTCTTTGGCTCTTCTCGGTCCAGCCATCTCTGTTGTGTCTCGAGAAGCGTTACTTATGTGTCCTCATGGCGGTTGTAGTAGTCACTGAAGAAAGTGAAAATACTGACGAGCACGCACATCACCACAAACAGCACAAGGACGACCCAAAGAAGGCGCCGGCTGACAGAAATCGAGGGACAAAACCGACTGAGGAGAACCAGCACCTCCTCCATCCTCCTGTGGAGAAAACACAGACAAATATTTCCATTCTGAGAAAATAAATGAATAATGTTCTTTGAATGACATGCAGTGGTATTTTATATATATATATATATATATATATATATATATATATATATATATATATATATATATATATTAAATGCAATAGATGTAGAAATAGATAATGTGATTTCAAAGTACTTCAAACTCCAGACCTTCATTGGCAATAATTTTGACGTTACTGTTTAGAATACCTATATTATTTATGCTAAATATCTATTTATTAAGAAGAAAGACAAGCAGATTTAGTTTACCTGCTGCTCTTATACCTCTTTCCGCTTTCTTCGTCCTTGTGTTTCAGCTCCAGCAGTTTCTCTGCTTCCATTTCCTCCGCATGTTTCTCTTCCAGGAGAGCTTTGGTGTGTTTCAGTCCCTCTTGATAGCTGAAGGTGATGGGGAGAATATTTCAGCTACACTTAGTCTGCACCCAACTTTATTGAAATAGTGAGGCTGTTTCCTCTCTTGCATAAACTGCACACGGTCACACAGACGTCAGTTTTGCATAAACATCTAACACTTTTAGAAAAGCTGTCACTGTAGTCCTGTATTTTCTTAACTTATATTCCTTGCTCTGCAGAGATTTTTTTGCACCAATCTCATTAATAACTTTGTGAAATGAGATCTTGTTGATTTTTTGTAACCTCTCTGAAGACTTTAACTAACGGAAATAAAGTTAATGTCGGGGAAATGTGGCTTTGACAGCTGAGCTATATTTCATTTGAATCAGATTCACTAAGTGATGGCAGGGGTAAACTCAATCCAAAAACTGAATTCAAAACTGCTTCAACCAAGTTACCAAAGTAGTTATATACTGCAAAACGCAACAGCATGGTCTATTTAGTTTAAATGAATCTGTGATTTGTACATGACAAAAATCTGGCATTTTAGAAGACCTCATGAGATTCATTCCAAGTGTTTCTCCAAAGATAATATGATTTTCTGGGATTTTCCTCCAGCAAAATGTTTGTCGGTTATCTCATATTGAATTTTTTTTTCCACTAAATCGCATGTTGGAGCTCAATAGAATTTAATGTGACTAAGAAATAGTTCAGAATAACTAATTTGTAGACAAAATGGGCAATTCTTTTGGGTCCAAATGATGTTTTTATGTCTCTACAGGGGTCCCTTCTCCTTCTGTCAGTATCGGTAACTCCTGATTTAAAGAAGCTTTTAGGAAGCTATTTTCTGCAGCACAGACATTAACAGACTTTTACAAGTTTGGACAGCAAAATCAGTAAACACATAAAAAGTACAGCTGTTTGAGTTTCAGATGTTTCAATAATCCACTTTTTTTTTTTTTGGGAGCCAGCAAACTTTCATTTTCTCCGCGATTACACAACCAATGATTTATAGTCAATAAAAATGTCTCGACACAGCAGAGGAGAGGGCCTCACCCTTTATTGTACGCTTCCTCCTCGATCTTTGCCTTGATCTCGGCTCTGATCTCGGCTCTGAGCTCCTCCAAGTTTACTGGAGGTTTGGCTGGCTCACTTTCCGGCTCCGTCCCACTCTTTCCACTGCATTGTTTCGGATAGGAAAGAACAGAGCAGTCAGCCTTGGACGGCACCACCATCACAGCAGACGTTATAAAACACTTTAGAGTTAGGCTCCATCAAAACAACGGTGGCATGTCTTGCTAATGCATGCGCCACGGCTCTGGATTAGTGCATTAACGGCGCTGAACACAAACAGAGCAAGCGGAGCTGGCAGGTTTGTTATTCTCCTCACAGAAGACATCTGGCTCAGGCATATGAGAGCTGGACTGAAGCTTACTTTATGACCCCAATATGACTGGAGTCATGTGCCTGGACTTTGTCAGCGTCTTCCCCAGATGTTTAGATTAAATCTACGTTATTATTTTTTTAAGCCTCTAATATTAGTTTTAGCTCACTCGGGCTTTTCTCTGCACTGTAAAGCACATCCTGCAGGTCACACAAACAACCCAAAATTCCTAGCGCAGCAGAAAAAAGCTTGGATAAGAAATGATTAGAAGTTCAGGATTTCTCCAGGAACAATGCGTCCAACGCTGCAGGAATGGCTCCGAAAGATCAAATATGCACGTTGTGTGTTTAAGCAAACATACCACTCTGGTGTTGGTTGAACTGCTTCGGTGGGGGAGCTGCTTTTCACATCATTTGCTTCACACTAGAGAGAAAAGTGATACAATTTATGTTCTTTTAAAACAAAACTAGGAGTCAGGTCTGTTTGAAGGAAAAATACAGGCTCTGAAACCGCAACACAAAGCTGTTTTTCCAAATAAATGATTTCAACTCAGCTGTAAAAGGGGCTACATCGTTTTCTGACCAGCTCATGACCTTTCATTCAAAAGCGAGTGCGGCTGTGTGTGGGTTGTCACTGTAAGAGATGCTTCCTACCTCATTTCCCATCATTTCCCAACAGGACAGGAAAAACCTACCAAGACAGGAAGAGCAGCACCCGCTGCGAGTCCCACGTTTGGGCCCGACGTGCCTGGGCTCTGACCCGGGATGTTGAGGAGGTTAAACTTAGGCACCACTGCCACGCTCACCCTCCGCCGGGGTAAAGCCTGCAAGGGACGCAACGAGAAAAAGCGAGATGGGACCTTTCTGCTGGGTTTTGATATGAAGACTTAAAACTGAAAAACATCACTGGTTACCTTTCCAAGGGTGAGGGACATTGATCTTGATGGCCGTGCAACCCCATCATCTTGATTGGAAAGAAAAAGAAAAAAAAAAAAAAAAACGTTTGAAGGAATTATTAATCAAAACAGAGCTCAGCGTCAACAGCGTCAGCTGTGTGGAGAAATGTTTTCTGGTTATAAAATGCTTAAACAGTGAAGCAGGAGAGCAAAAGTTGCATGGTTTTATTGCTTTATTGCATGTTCATCCTCGTACCTCCAGTGTCTGCAGACGCTCCATAACAGCGGTTTGAGTTCTGGTTGGCCAGCTTCTTAAACTCCATCAGCTCTGCGTGGTCCTTCTCATATGTCCTCTTCAGATTTTCCACGTATTGCATCATAACCTCAGTGGCTTTGTTCATACGTTTCTCCTGTTTGACAACAAAGCCCCCGTCCATCAGGCCGCAGGGACAGGAGTTGAGCATTCACTCTCAACAAAGAGTCAAACAAGCTGTGAACTATGTGTTGACATTAAGCTGTAAAGTTACTTGCCAGACTTTTTTTTTTTTTTTTTTTTTAAATATAATAAATTCAACATTAGGTATAGTTTTATTTATTTATTTATTTTTTACCAACAACACAACACGTCACAGGCAGTTTTTCTAGTCATTGCTGATGAAAAGTAACAAAAATCAGCTTTCTGGAAAACACTTCTGTTTCTTTTGATGAAGAAGGACTGATTTAAACCCCGTGGTCAAAGTATTTCTGAGCATTTGTTTGAGCAGTTTTATCCTTCGTTGCCATACATTTGCTACAGAAAACCTCTGAGCTGTCTGTGAAAACACTGAATGGATTTATGAGCAAACTGGTTAAAACAAAATCCGTGGCGGTTGTCTTTGGGAGAATCACTGCACACTGGAATCAGCAGACATCATCCATGAAGATGTGCAGCCATCATTGTGTGTCAGGCAGTGAATGAAAACTTAATTGTGGAGTCGTCTGGTTTAAATCTTAACCACCTTCTGTGGCATCATAGATCGGAATATAAATAAATTGGAATTAGTTGTTTTAAGAGTCCTTCCTTATGAGTAGAACTGCTGACTACATAGTTGGATTAAATTGACATGTGTTGAAATATGACCAAACAGGATTGCACATTTTTATGTACAAATTTGGTTTGTCTGTCTTGTAAAGTGCCTTGAGCAGACATGTGTTGTTAATAAGCTAAACTTAATTGAGCTTTATTGTAATTGAATGATTCATATAATCATTCAATAAACAAAGACAACAACGTGTTAAAACAACAAACAAACCTCAGGCACTGGTCTAAAAATGAGAGAAACAGCAGGCAAATCTAAAGAAACTTTAAAGAGCCTTTCAAGAGAAACATCAGGTTACAAGAAAGTCTGGCTGCCTGGAAGCAAATCATAAAGACACGAGCGACGAGTCGAGACTTTTCCACACGCGTTTGTGTGACTGCACCTGCCGAACTGCTCCAACTATCTCTGCTCTGCTGGAGAGTCGTGTGGTCAGTCGGTACAGCACCGCCAGTGTCTCTATCAGGCGTTGGTACGCTTCCCGTTGCTCCATGTTCTGCCACTGTGGTGCAGTCATCTGCAAGGAAAAACACAACATCGTGCCACAAATTACATCAGTCCCCATTTTCTAGCGCGCCTCTAACTCGCAGCCTATCTAGGAAGGGAAACATCGAAACAAAGCTCCTGTTTTTCAGGGCCGACCTTCAGCGCTCCTTTGAACTCCTCCAGCTCTTTCTCGGTGTCTTCCTCTGTCAGGTTCCTCTCCCTCTCTGCTTGTTTCAGTCGAGTCTCCAGAGTATAGTTGTCATTACGAAATGCGAGCGACAGCTGGACGAAGGCGTTCTGCAGGGAGGTATTCATACTTCATCTCACACTTTGTTAAACTGTACAAGATGGAATTGCTAAAAAGTTTTCAGAACTAAAGCAAATACGCAGCTAGATGAGAAGTATTGGTGGTATGCAGAACACGAGGCAGAATCCAGCGACCCTGAGCGTGGGGAACAAGCTGTGAGTCTGACATTTGACCTCCTGGTGTTTTGCTTTGTTGATCAAAGCCACTCAGCTCAATTTTCCTACACAGGGGCCACCGTTGGGAGGAAATATACGACCTCTGACTGTCCTGATCCATACGCGTCCCCGGGGGAGCAGCGAGAGGAGCTACAGCCAGAGCACAACAGCGTCACAAATGTTAGCATTTTCTCCACAGGAAATTGCTGCAAGTCTCTTCGGCCTGATCAGGAACAGAAAAACACTTTCCTGTTGACGGGACAGCACCAGCTCCAGGCCGGATAAATTTTGTGTCAACTGCGTAATTAAGCGGGTTGGCAGCAGACCAGGTTATTACCTACAAACCCACGGAAAAGGTTCAGCGAGTCCATCTGTTTCCACCGCTGGAACACAACAATGCTGTTTCAAGCTAACAAATCATTGAGGGCATTTCATTTTTATGACTTGTTCCTGTAGGACTTAAAATGGCCAGAGTTTGAAATTAATTATTTTATGTTTTCTTCCGAAATAACAAATATATATATATTTTTTTACTTTTGCACTTAAAGTTGCATCTTCTTAAAGGGTTTAATTTTTATGTTCTCACAAGTTATTTAGCTTTCAGTATTTTACCTTCAGCAGATAGCTTTTTAAGTTTCTCACCGGTGTGTTGAGAAACAGTTATTCGGAGCTGATATCTACCTTTCTCCAACTCCAGTCACAAAAAGTTTCATAACTGATCAACATTACCAGGTAAACATTTAAACCAGTGTCCACTTTAGATATGAATATTTCTGTTTATGTCGAGAACAAAGCTGGCCAGCAGTCGTTACAGGAGAGTTTTATGTAAATAACGTTTCTTCCACATAAAATGTGGCAGATGACTTTCTAAAGGCAGCCAACATATTAACCACGTCACGGCACCTTAGGCTAAATCAAACACTGTTGATCAAAAACTCTGCCCTGTTTCTCCATTAGACACTGATTATGTCTTCCAGATTTGGTTTTGCATTTGTTTCACCTGGAATATTGTTGTCATTTATGAGTTCCAGGTAAGTTTTTCTCATTTGCATTTGAGATTATTTTATGTAGGCAAAAAAATAAAAAATTAAAAATTCCCCGGAACTGACCTGAGTTGTTGGTTTGATGCTCTGGTCAGAGGGAATTTTAATTTCTACAAACTGAGAACCGTCAGACAGCCAATTAATGCAGATATTATATTGACTTATATTAACATATACGTATATATTAAAGTATACAATGAGTTATAACAGAACGAGAAAGTATTGCCTGGTTTTCAAAGAGTGTTAAAAATATGACAACTTTATTTTTTTATACTAGACATGTTCAACACATGTTTATGCTTCTGTCTTGTTTCATTTTACAGTAAAAAACAAGAAAGAAGCACAACTTTATGTTCTTCAATCATGTATTAACTCCAGTATCAAAAAGAATCATACACACTTTTTTTTGCTTTCTTCTTTCTGCAGACTTTATGATCGGCCTTACACCTGCTGCACTTATGAGATCTGTTTAAACTAACATTAACATTTTTTCTAACATGCTACCCACATAAACACAAATAAAACCTAACATGGAACGTTCCTGTTGACAAATAACTCCTTGTTCCAATTTTACCTGGGAGCAGAAGGCTACATAGAAAACTGCAATTATTTTATTTCTTTCACAAAATGTCAAATGCTCTAACAGCTGCAACCACGTGGCCATCTGCATCATTAGCTTGAGTTAAACAAGAACATTAGTTCATGCAAGCACCAATAATAAACCCGAAAGCTCAAATATACGGAGCATTGCTTTAAACAGATCAGCTCATTTTCTTGTGAAAGAAATACAGATTTGATTAAATATTTGGCATGCAACTACTTCGTTTGCAAATATAAATAAAAAAAGACAAGCTGGCTATTAAATGTTATCAATGAGAAGCTTCAAAAGTGCTGCTAACTGCAGGTTACTTCATCCTGTTTGCACTGAGTCCTTATATTTCAGTAACTTTACTGACTATCTTTTTAAGGTTGTGATTAAATATATAAAACAAACTCTACAAGGAGAAGAGCTTTAAAACCAACCTCAACTTCTTTCTCAGAGAGCGGAGGGGCACTGAAAAGAAATTAGGAAAACCTTTTTAGCAAATGAAGAAATACACTTTTTCAGCAGCAGCCTGGAAAGGAGAAAAAGACAAAAGATACACACCAGCCTGGCAGGCCTCGGTGAAGTTTTAGTTTTCTCAGCATCACATCTGAAATGTTTGGCATGGCGTCAGATTTCTCCTTCACCTCCTCGCTGCTTGTGGTCTTTGCAGAAGATGGAGGTCCTGCACACATTAAAAGAGTTTTCCAATGATGTTCTGCTAAAAAGATACAGAGCAGCTTAGTGTTTACACTTTTTTTATAGCACAAAGTTTATGGCTCAATCTCCCTCTAAAGTACATAAATACACAGAATAATTTCCTAGTGCCATAAAAAGCGGTCTTCGCCTCACATAATTTAGCAATCATGCCATCTGCTGATAAGAAATAAAAATTGTTGTTCCTCATGTTTGCCAGTAAATGGGTGGGCACAGAAAAAAGAAATGGGTCATCATCATTTTTTGTGCAGGAACACTTTTCTCTGATTCAGGAAGTTTACACCCTCACTCAGAGCACTGAATGTGCTACCGTGAGAAAGCACTTTCTGTTCTACATAAAGACTGCGTGTGTGTAAGTGCTGGTACCTTTTTCCTGCTCGGCCGCTTCACTCAGCTCCGGTAACTTGGAGCCAACTATACTCTGGTTGCGCATCAGCTTGTGCTCCTGGGAACAGGCCCAAACACGTCACTTCTTCAAACATCCAAACAAGACGCGGCTAAGTGTAGAAAAACTACGCAATGATTGGGTAGTTCAGTCTGCAGAGTGGATGTTTTACCTCTCTAAGTTTGGACAGTTTCTGTGTGCTGCCTGGTTGGGCCTGTAGGTCTTTGTACAATGAGGACTTGAACACACCATCTCTGGGTTTATCCGAGAAAACCTCGTCGACTGTTGGTGGGAAACCGGAGGCTCCAGTTCTCGAGTTAATGCTGCCGACAGAATCCCAGGAGACCGCCCTCATCAGCGGAGGGAAGGCACCGATTGTTTTGATCTCCGCTGTGCAGGGGGCCTGCTGGGTAGGCGGTCTGGGTACGGGCTTGGCCACCCCCGTAGCTGGGGTCAGGTTTGGGCTTCGACCTGAAACCTCATCTGCTTTACTGACGGCCTGCGGACTCCGAGGCCTGGTGAGGTCGCGGTTTTCCTTCTGAACGGCAAAGCGAGGTGTTAGCGTCCCGGACGACACTTTCCTTTTCTCAACCGGCTTATAATCCACCAAAGGCTCATCCTAGGATTAGCAAGATTAATAAAACGTTTATCACCTCTGTCGTGTTTAGATAAGTGTAATCAATTCAATTCAAATTCAAAAAATGCTTTATTTTTCCCATCTTCAGCATTGATCAAGATGGGAATTTTAAGTTTTTAATACTCGCTAACTGTTGGACTGACGTGCAACATATTCCAAATGTAAAATTTAATTAAATAAATGCTTTTATAATTTAGGAGTGTTTTACAGAAATAGTGGCATAAAGGGACACAATTAAAAATAGCTGAGGAAATGAAGAGTTTTCAAAAGAAAAGGTACTAATATTACAGTTTAATACTTAAAAATACAACTCAGTATATCTGGTAAGATTAGCTAAGTTTAATAACCCTTCAATGGGTTTAACTAAGGCTCACTTGCAGCAAGTTTGAAAGTAGAATTTCTATTTCCCCCACTAATGGTTCCATAAGAAATGATTCAGTGGATCTGTAACTCTCACCTCCTGATCCTTGTTTTTTAAATCCGGCTGCTCTCTCCCTGTTGGCACCTCTAAATGCTAGGACAGAAAATCAGTCAATTTTTCGAGTGTTAATAAATATGACTTAATGATAGTCATACTTCTGATTCAAGAAAATGTCGTATTCCAGACAATTCTGGAAATGGGCATACTAAAAGAAATATCTGGGTCATTTTTGTGAGAGCAGCTTCTTTACCTGACTCACTGACTGTGGGCAGCCATGTGTGGCCTCTGTGGTACCTGCAGCTGGGAGGGAAGAAAGCAACTAAGATAACAGGCTCAATTTCCTGTCAACAAACAAATACGACTTATTTTGGGTGTTCTAAATGTTGCCAAAAACCTCAGATATGCAGTTTGCTAAATTACTGATTTAGATTGGTCAGGTCAATCAAATTTAAACTCTGCCAAATGGCATTCGAGCATCATGTCAATTAAAACATTGACATTGCTTTGTTATGAGTTCTAAAGGGGGAAAAGAGTTTGCAATGACCACAGCAAGACCAACCACAAAAGAAAAAAGTGAAGTATTATAAATATTTTCTGGCAGATATTTAGATGAGCCCACACAAAGTGTGGTACAGACCAGTCTGAGGTGGGCCAATGAAAGAGCTGCTTCTTGATGAACGTGGGGAGGAAGACGGCGTTGGAGACGGAGAGAGGGCTGAGGAAGAAAATAATCTGTCGTTAAAACAACGATGCGTGCAATAAAAGATACAATAGTTTATTATTTTTTTTATTTAACAGAATGTGACAAGCTGTATCCTCTCCTCTATCAACCTCAGCATGATGAAAAACACCGTTTTAATGTCAGTGTGCACATGAGACGTGGTATGTGCGCCACCTGTGGGTGAGTCGGTGAGGCTGCTGATGGACCGGCGTCCACGGCGGGTCAGGAAGCGGTCGCTGACCATCTTGGCCTGTTCGAGAAGCTCCAGGTTTTTCTGCCGGTCCTCTTCAGAGAGCTGAAGCTCTGGAAGTTGATCTTTCACCAGGTCAATCACATTACCAGTGCTGTCTGAGAGAAACAATAAACTAGTGATGGCGCGACGTAGATAATGTAGAAGAGTTATACTCTTTTATGCTGTTTCCATAACTACATCATTTTTAATTCAGGGTTTTAAAATATCCTTGCATATTTGAGATGGTTTGGAGTAAGCTGTATCAATTTACGCCTCTTCTCTGAGAAGTGCGAAGCTTCCAGGAATAAGTCGACTGTAAATACCAGAAAACAAATCACCAGACAAAAGAATGATATTTATTATCATCCGTTGCTATGATTCACCGTTAACTCATCAAGGACTAAAAGGAATCAAAGCATCAAAAGCTTTTCAGGCCTTTGGGAGGACACGTCAGGAGATTTATCTGTAAAGCTGGAGACAACACCACAAACCTGGAGCACATCTGCTGAAGGCGAAACACTGATTTGGAAGCAGTTTCTGCTGATTGTGCAACAAATGCTAAAACAGTTAGTTAATGGAAAATATTTCCAGGATAAAACCGGTGAATCCAAACCACAAACTAAATCGTTCTCATAGCGTTTATTTTTAGACTCCAGCTGTAGCATGTGAGCCTTTGTGGGGTTTACCCACCAACCGTGGTGATGGGTCCTCCAGAGGAGTTTCTGGCCTGGCGAGCTCGGGGACTGTGTGGCCTGACAGAGGACAGCAATAAGTCAGTAACAGTGAAGTGAAAGCAGGAAATCTATTTCAGGGTTGGATGTGGTGGGCGGGCGATTTACCTGACATGTTCGAGGGACCGTCCCTCTTGTTGGACAATGACAGCCTTCTGTGGGTAGACGATGGTGGGGGCGGTCATTATAACAGCTTGGCTTTCACCTGTTGTAGACTGCAGTCCAACACAATGAAAGAAGAGCCCAGTCATAGCAGGAACACAGTAATAAAACACTGGACTCATTACTGGAAAGTGAGCTGGAAGGTGTACGGCACCCCAGTTCTTCTCCCAGTTTAAGCAGTTCCTGCTTTGTGTTGCAGTATTTAGTCAGGACAGAGAGGGTCAGTCTGATCGGCAGTAAATAAAGGCAAACATGTGCGGGCTGGTTTCTGGACTCAAGCAGGTCAGCAAATTAATCTCCTTCAATTAAGAGAAAAAAGACATTAATCTTCTTTTTCCAGCTGTTGGTGAAAGCTGTCAGTATACAGGCTGCACTTTTCCTGACATTAACAACAAATAAAACAATAAAAACAGTCAGAAAAGTTCTAGTAGTGAAAAGCTTCAGGACAAAGAATCACAATCTTGCGACTCCCGTTGGTGGCATTCTCAGAATACAAAGGACAATATTATAATCACATATGTGACAATTATATCCCACTATACTTTTTCACACTTAGGATGTGTAATACAACTGAAGTACTTCTGCTCATATGTATCATGCTGTCAGATCTTCATTCTACCCTATAGCCTAGTGACAAAGAATCCAATTGAGTTATACTTTACTGCATGTTGTGCTGCAAACAAGCTGTCATTGATAAAATTAGTCCAAAGATTAATGACAGCCAACAAGATCAGTGCAAGATTTGCATGAAGAGTTAAATTACTGTATACTGACACACATTTTCGTAAAAACATCTGACAACTCAGTTTATTCACTGTCATGAAATGGGAAGCTGACCGTTAAACAGAACCTGTCTGATAAAAACACTCCGTAGACTAAAATATATCAGAAAGAAAGGAAAAGCCAACAGCTGACCAAAAAGAGCCGGAGGGTCCATCTCACATATGTAAAAACATCTTAATGATCCCACAGACAAGGCCCATAGGCATTGTTTCCCAGCCCGATCTGACCCAACTTATTTACTTTGATTAGACTACAACATTATCGTGCATTCTTTTGTGGTTTTCTCTGTGCTGTATGTATTGCAGTCTTATTAAATGCACCACAGAAGCCTGAGCCCGACCCAAACCTGACTATCAAGCAAGTAATTCTGGCGCAAACCCGGACCGAATTTCGGGGCAGATTCGGGTCAAGCTAAATCCTGACTCTAGATTGGATAACCCTGGAAATTGTTTTTATTTTTCAGTGCACATACAATAAAATCATCCAAACTGCCTTGTTTAAATGACAACACTTGAACTCCAAAGTTTTAAAGTCGTTAGTTTTACGGCCGTAAATTCCTGTGTGATTACCAACAGCGATGCTAATAAACTTCACTAAAAGCTAATGGTACCAGGACACTAATAACATAAGGAAACCCTGATGTAACACTGTAGACAGACTGCAGATTCAAAGCAGCACTCATCCAATAAAGATGGGTATTTTTATTATGTTGGCATATTCGCCATTAGACTCTGAGATGTCCCATCCAGCTTTGGTGTTTATGAGGCATTTCAGAGGGAGACCATGCTCAGCTCAACACTTTGATGTCAGTGGACTTTTAGAGATTAAGATTATGAGCTATTAAATGCTGTTTAAGATGTAGAAAGCATGCATTTTACCTCCAATTTATGACAGATTTTACGTAAATGTCATCCCAAATAAACATGCATTGATAGTTTAAATAACGTAATTGGAATATAGTAATCTGACTTCATCTTATTTATGTAGCTAAGAATGACTAAAATTGTACCTTTTATTTTCAGGACAAAAGTCACAAGTACTGTTTTGCTGAGATGCAATGTTCTCCAGACAGAACTGTAACAATCTCAGTGGTCTCTGATTTATTATGAAAGCCAAGCTAAAAGACCTTAGAAGACTAATAAATCATTTAAGAATCAGCAGAATGATGAGACTCACTTGTAAACATTTTAGGTCAGAGAAGTACAGAGAGACAAAACATAACATGCACCAAACCAAATAGCAATAATTCAAATTGTAGCTTTGGTAACTTCAGTTCCCCTCCCCCGCCCCCCCTGCAGCCAAGCCTCTTTTTGAACAGTGGGGAGCATATTAAGCCGAAGAATGTTTTGATTAATGTGCTCTTCCTGGCAAATTAAAAGCAGCATGTTGGAGGAAAAGTCGCTAATTTTAAAGTCAGATTAATGCAGAAGCATTGCTGGAATTTCCTCACACTGCCTTTGAGTTATTTGTGAGTGTACGCCTCAGACGGGGGCAGAGTTTGCACTCACTGTTCGAGGAGAGCTGGATGAACTGTCCAGTTCTTCGGGAGAGTCCTCTTCTTCTTCGGGCAGGGTGGGCATGATGGGGGGCAGAGAGGGGCGAGAGCGGGAGAACGGCAAGGACAAAGGACTGGAGGACGCCCTCAAGTTGCCGTTGCCTTTTTTTAAAGAAAACTCAGGCAGGGAGAGTTTCTTCTCTTGCTGGAGCTGCAAGACCACAAAACACATAAAGATACAAAAGTATGTTGTTTTAGTCTGAGCTGAAACACAAAGTGGAGGCGGGGCAGAGCTCTTCTTTTCTGCACTTGTTAGAGGATAGACGCATTAGAGATAAAAGGCACTACTGCTAAGAGAGTCAACCACACCATCAAACCCTAAACAAATCCCAGAATAGCTCCACACTCCGAAGGCTTGAAAAAAAAAAAAAGAGAGACAGAATCCAACTCTGGAATATACCCTCTGCAAAAAAAGAAAGTATCCTGAAACATTTGATCAGCCATTCATTAACACCATGAAACCTATTTATCATTTATTTAATGAAGATGTAATAATATCATCCTACAGCAGGTGTAGAGCTGAGGCTCAACAGTTCTTTAAACAAGTGTGCACTATTAATAAAAGCAGCTGCGTAATGAAGTCTGGATTTTCAGTGCAGGGATTAACAAATTTCAGTTATTTAATGGCACTCTGAAGGAAACTCTTCCAACTGTAGATTGTGCAGATTTAGGCTGATGACATCACAAGAGGCACGAGAATCTTACCAATCAGATGGCGGTTACTAAAAACCGTAGAGGAGGGGAGGTTTGATGTGTTTGGAGTTTGGAAAATGTGAGTTTTTCCTTAATGTCCATCATGGAGTTTTAGAGTTTGGATTCCTGACAGACACTGAGGCTGATGATGATGCTGAAGAAAAACAGTGACGATCACATTGATCACCATCGTAACTTTGGGGACACCTGGTAGGACTGGGCTCATTCTAAGCTCATTTTTGGTGTTTGATGCATGGAGAAGTTTTGCGGGAAACATTTTCTGAGACTTGAAAATGTTTTTAACATTTTTACTCAAAATTATTGTTTGCTGCAGTCATGCTGAAAATAAGTAAACGCCGTGATGGTGCCATATCAAAAAGTTTTTACTTTGGATAGGGCAGATTTTTTTTTTTTCTTGACTGAATAACAATGTACAACAAGACAGGAAGACAGCATGCAGTTCTACAGGTCACACACTTTAACAAACTTCAGTTTGATTCACTTCGGAGGAAATTTAGGCAAGTAACTTTAAAATCGCGCTGTAATGTCCACATGCAGGAGAATGCATGCAAGCTCTGGGAATGTGTGTCACATTATTCCTGTGCAGGGTGCACATGCCACTACATCACTACAACCTCTTGTAAAAACCGAGACAAACCAGCACATATAAAAGCACAAATGTCACTTCACGATTACAAAGAAGAAAGCATGAGTTCAGCTGAAACCACTTAGATCGTTTACATCTGAAGCTCAGCAAAGGTAGAAACTACTGCAGCATGAGTGATTAAATGAAACCTCTAATAAATAAACACATTGTTTTCATCTGTTTTCATTCCCACACTGCAGTTTTCTTTGGGCAGTCACGGTGCTGATTACAAACACTCGGAGGGATGCGCTTGGTTGTTATAACACCGAGCTGCACTCGACTCTCACAGGCTGACTGATGCAATGAGCTCCTCTGGGACGGAGTAAAACAAACAGAAGGATTTGTAGAAAGATTATATGAAAACACGAGTGCAAGCCATGCGGAAGATTACCGAGAGAGTTAGTCATCACTGATCGACACTGACTATCGGAACTGCAAATGCTGGAGTTGTAACAAAGGGGTCAAACGTTAGAAGACAACAAACTAACAAAAGATTTACAGTGGGAAGTGAAATAAGAACAAACATGCAATGTCTAATTACAGGAAGGAAGCATAAATCTCCTTATATATCAGTTCTGGAGGCATCAAGCATGTTCATAACAACCGTGGAGTTTGTGACATTAAAGAATTCAGTGAAACGAATCAATCTTTCCTGACTTTTAGATGCTCTTGTTCTTTTTCATGGTTCACTGAACTGGAGGCAAAACTTCATGTGAAAAAAATGTGTGCAGCCATTGTGTTAACCCTGTTTAAACTCACACTGTTCTATTTTTAGCAGCAAATTTATGCAAATCCAAATGCAGAACCATTTTAACCCTTTGAAGGAAAGCGGTGCCTTGAGTACGTGCACAAACCAGCGTCAGGGGTTAATGAGGTCTGATGCTAATGGGATTCAGGGTCGTTTAAATTCACCGCAAACAGCAAGAGCTCCATATTTACGAACGTAACCAGGCGTCAGTGATGAATTACTGTTTCACAGGTGAGACATGAAAAGTGTAATAAATCTTCAGATACAGAGAAGTCTAGATTATACAACGCTGCTCAATATCATCACGGACATGACAAGTTCCTGGGAACATAAAGCGGCAACGAGGCTGTGAGTCACTGGGGAGGAAGTGGATTGTTTAACTGTTTCCCAGTGAGCTGCTGGGATATTTCCTGACTACGTTAATACGCTCTCATGCAGGGATACAAATTCCTTTTCATTCTCACTTTGCAGAAGCGTTCAGTGTAGATTCTGGTAGGTTGCTTACGTGCAAGAAAGATTAGAGATGTTTTCAAAATTCTTGTTATATTTTAAACAAAATGTCAAAAGCCCGATGGCTGGGTTTCCTTAAAAGATGGTCATTCAAATTATTGCATTATAATTGGATTAGAATACTCATTGTTTCTTTTTCTAAGTCTGACTTTATGATTGCTTTGTATTCACATTAATTAGATTCTCTCTTTTGAACTAAATTAAACTATATTACCCGAGATTAACTAAATCTCTGTCTTGTAAAACTAATGAACTATTTTTGTATTTATGACATGTTCCATTAAATTATTATTATTATTATTTTTTAAGATTAACGCATATCTTCCTAAACAACCTTGGAAACATAGGTCAAGTACCACTACTTGCCATCGTTGGATTTGACCCTTGGGCTACAAGAACTGCTATTCTCCAGGTCTCTTCAAATTGTGCTAATAGAACCAAATCTTGACAAAACAATATATTATTTCCACACAATATGAGAAGCATATGACCTTAGTAATTATGCTCAAAAGGTTTTGTCTGAATGCCTGTAAATACATGCCAAATTTCTCTTTAAATTAATCTTTTTTTCTTTTTTTTTTTCCTATTTGGAAAGCTTTGGAATAATCAATCATTAATCATAACATTTTAACTGTGGCTGTTTATTCAATGTAATGATTGCAAGTTCAAAATGGCTGAACATGGAAAAACCATCACTCACGAGATTCTTATATTGGCTAGAAATATAGATAGTTTACATTTTTGGAGAGAAATCCTGAAGTCTAAGGCATCTCTTTAAAAAAAACAAAACATTATGTAGCTATCAGGTAAGTAAGCTTCAATTTCCTGATCAGCCCCTCCAGATGATTCATCTTCCCGAAGTGTATTGTTGAAAGTAGCTGAGCTGAGAGAGACAAGATACAGTGCAATCTATATTAGTGAAGTCTAGAATAGTCCTCAAAGGAGGATTATTCAACCTTTTGATATCTTGTCAGTGTGAACAGTTTAGCTGGCATTGCACACCATGTTATGTTCAGCTAGTTTTTCTGCAAGGATGCAGGATGCATCATCTAGTTTTTACTTCTTAGAGACAGCTAAACTTTTGGAAAACCTAGTTTTAATCAATTTAGAAGGAACTTTGAGTTACCAATTCCCAGACAAACTTTTTCAAATAGCAATTTCTAAAGAATAATTAGCGTTGTTTGTAATTGTTAGCCCTTGTATTTGTTTGTGCGATGACAATATACGCTAATTATCAGCTTTTGCTGTTCTAGTCTTCAGTCGAGGTTTTAATGGTATATTCTGAATAAATTCTGCTTCTGAGAAATATACAGAAATCTAGTTTCTTTTAACGTTCAGTGATACACTCTGGAAAAGTTCTCGATTCAAGAATCCTGCCCCGACCAAACACCGACAGACACGCTGAAGAAACGTTGCACAGCTTGAAAAGGACTGAACCTAAACAAAGGTGCCAAGCTGCTCTGCAGGAGGCTGCAGTGCAGAGTGCTGCTCCCACAGACCATGACACTGAGATAAATATTGCAGAGTAATTGAATCACTCAGATGATTTCCTGTGGGAGAAAAGAACAGAACATGCAATCCTGAGCTCAGATATTCTCTTATAACCAACTCTTGCCCTTCGTCTTCAAACAACAGACAGAAGACTTGATTTTCTACCAAAATTGTTCAAGAACAAGAGAGAGAGGCAAGGGGAGCAGCGCCTTCCTCCCTTTATCCGTTACATAAGCCAACTCCTTCATGCCAGATTTGTTTAAAATTTGGTTGTGTGAAGCACAGAGTGCAGAGCCAGCAGAGGAAGTGGTTTGGACACAGGCACAATCTGAGATAACATGGCAGAGGAAGCGTCAGAAAATAAAAGTTGCAACGGGCTCTGTGATGTAAAGTCAGGCAGAGGGAGGAGAGTCGACTGAACAGACTTCCAAAGTGGCAAGCCACACATTAGCTATGCGAGCAGTTTTACATAAAGTCACTGCAGTCAAACAGAGCAGTCCACAAACCTTCATGCAGATGGTTCAAGCAGCTGAAGAGATTAAAAAAAAGAACGACAAAAAAAACAAAACAAAAAAACAGCTGAAGCTGGATGTGTCCAACAATCCAGTGAAACCCAACAGCGGCAAACAGCTGAACATCTGAACCTGTCCACAGAGCGTGTGCACGTTACCTGAGTCCACCGCTACACTGCTGCGACTCCAGCTGATCTCTCCAACTCAGACACTTCCCACAACCAAGCTGTCACTGTCACAGTTTTCCCCAGAAAACTCTCAGTCCTCAGGGCTTCTTCTTCCTTCTCCCGTCCCCTCTGTTCCCTGGCTTTTTTCAGCAGCAACAGCCTCTCTTTCACTCCTGGGAGCTTTTACCATTTAAGGAGAAGGACTCAGTGCGCCTCTTTAAGCTGCTGTGAAGTGTATGCGTATGTGTGATTATGTGATCTCAGGCATCTGATCCTACAATTATCCCTAAATAAGACCAGGACAAGATGAAACATTTCTATTTTGAAAGCGCTTCTCTCTTTATATATATATATATGTATATATATATATAGGTGTAAGAAACTTTTTATGTGCTTTTCTGTGTGAGACAGGCAGAAAGAACTGCGCCTGGCTGATCTGTGTTTACTCTTTTGACTATGAGGAATCCACTTCCGAGCTCTTAAGCTCCATAGCTATTTGCTAATCTGCTCTGTCAAAACCTTGATCATTGCTGCTCTTTCTTACTGCTTCTGTGTTAATGATTTAAGTTCGCTGACCACTGAGATAAAACAAGAACACAGCAAACACACTGTTTGGGGGAAGACAGCTTTTAAGGTCACATGATCACTTAAACTCCTGCAGGTTGAATGATGCTGCTTACAAAAAAAGAGCAGCTTGAGCCAGAAAGTTGTTCTCGTTCTTACTCACCTAACTTCACTGCACTATTACCTAACCTAATAACTTAAGTTGCTGCTTTTGACCAAGTTGACAGTCCTTTTGTCTTATTCTAATTGTCTATTTCCAACATGGTATAAACAGTGTCTTTGCGTAGATGATGACATTTCACCCTGAGGATTTTACCCAAAACAAGACACCACTGAAGAACATAACTGTGTTAAAAGGTAAAAAAAAAAAAAAAAAGAAATTGATGGAAATTCAGCCATTGTTTAAAAATACATAACATACAGACATATTATTATTACTGCAGCCTTTAACTACGCAGTGGGAGTTAAAATATCAGAAACACCAGTCTGAGTCTGAACGTTTTAATTATTTACTGAATAAAAACAAACGGAGAATTAAACTAGATGTTTCTGTAAAACAATATATGCACCAACCCACAGAATAAAGAGCAGACAGGCCACAAAGCTTATTATTTTAGCAGAATAGATGGCTCAAAACGAACCAAAATGAAGCAAAATATGCAAATTTATGAAGCCGCCTTTATCTATGACACGTAGATAAAGCCATTTGTCATGAACAAAACATAAAAAAGCACCAGTGAAATCTAAACTTGTACCTTTAGAGAAAAAGATAAACAGTTTCCAGTTTAACAGGTTTTTCAACATATTGTTTCTCTGCACTTGTTCATTTAAATAAAATCTTAACATTTTATGTCCTTTGTAATATTTTAAATGTTTACTTGTGAAGCTGTTTCCCTTTGGACAGAAAGTGTCCCTTAAGGGTTAACAAGAAAACTGAAGTTGGCCTAAAGTAAATGAAAGTCTTTGTCCACAGCATAATATTATTGTTATTGCTACATCTACCTGGACCTAAAATAGGTTGAGGAAGAATGTGCTGTATAACAAAGGCATACAGTACAGTATACTTCCTGCAAATGTATATTTTCGTGTAAAACAACACTAAAAACACTGTAGCACAGAAAAGTATGAATGCAAACGCTACATAAAGAAATAACATTTTTCAGAGGAGCGGGTCTTACCTCCCAGCTGCTGCCTCGTCCTGCAGCACCTGTTAGAGCCAAAGCACAGACAGACTGTGAAAACAGTTGATTTGCATTTAACAGCAAGGCATGTGCAATGCAAATGTTAGAGGGGACAGTAAAAAAAAAAAGGAGTGGAGAAGAAAGAAAGGATGTGACACTGTGGCAGAAAGAGGAAAACAAAAACGATGGCAGAAATAAATTTAGTTGTCTTCCCATTGGGGCTGATCCTCACAGCGTGACGTTCTTTCTGGTTATCAAAACTATTGTACCTCTTGCTTCAGGAAGTATGCCACCCAGCCCACCTCTATAGCTCAGGGCAACAATAACCTGGCAACCATCTGAAGCACATCAGGTGCTTGAGCCTCTGGCTAAGAGCTCCCGTTCTCTGCTTCAGGGGCTCTCAGGAGGAGCCTCATAATGCAGTAACAACCGAGGAACCAAGAGCAAGTGAGCAGCAGCACCATCAGAGCTGGTGTTTCCTCACTTCAAGCATTTCTTTCATTGGGAATTGGTAAAAAGTTAAGATTCTGTTCTACTGTATAACTTTATGAATCAAATTTGATTTTATTTTCAACAACAGTGACCTTAAAGCCAAGTTGTGTTACTCTGTAAAGTTCTACTAGCATATTTTAGGTTAATACAGTTCTTAATGTGTTTTATTATTATTATTATTACTACAAAGGCATCTACAATAACTCTTTGAAGAATTTTGAATTAATATGAGTTAAAAAATAACTTATAAATGAATTTTGAATTTGAATTTTGAACAGATCCATCTGACTTACAAGACACAGAAAGTAGAACCTGCACCAAATCGCTGGCAGGTTTGCAAATATATGAGATCAGTTTGGATTTGAGATGCTTCTAAATTATTAAGGTCGTCATTTAAGCTCCTAAATGAGAGAAATCTGGTGAAAAGCTGGTTGGCCCTAAATCTGAATCTTGAACTGGTTTGTGGGACCCCCTTTTTAAATACTTTGATTAAATATATCAAATGAAGACAAAATGAACCCCAAGAAGTGATAAGGCTTCTAAACATTTTACTTTTTTTTCATAAATAGTCAGTGTGGCTAAATGATCTTAGTTTCAGACCAAAGGACATGCCAACAAAAACTAAAGTCTCTTTGCCCCCTAGAGCATTTTCAAAGTATAATTCCTCTCTGAGTGGCCTTTCAGCACATGTTGGTGCAGTACTTGTTTCAATCTGTATAATGACAGTCTCTTATGATAGAATCGTCACAAGGGTTTATTTTCCGTGGCTGATTTTTACGTCTTACACCAAAACACGTTTATCTCTTCAACATATATTCTACTTAACTCTGTTAAGAGGGAATTCATAAAGCTCTACAATTCAACTTATGATCATAATGAGGCAACAAAGTCTTTACTGTTCCTCCCCTGGCTGCTGTTTGAATTAATGCAACTTCATTTGCTAACCAAAAGCAAGCTACCATCAACTTGGCACAACACAATGTTACCTTTAGATATACAGTTGTAAAATAATCATAAAGAACAGACACTGAGGCGACTATACAGCCTGTCACAGTAAGTGCAGGTTTACCTCCAATATGGCGCGTAGCCATGTTAGCTATCACTGTTTTAGACAAGAAGAAATATAGAGATTGGCATTTTGAAGAGACGCAAAGAAACTGACTATTTTTAGCTACAGCTGTTGCTTCCTAATTACTGATGGGAGAAGCAGTAAGAGATGTCAACATGATTATATTTATGCAATACATGGTGTAATCATGGCTAAAATTACTCAAAAAACTTTGTAAATACAATGTGGACGTCTGAAACATGACAAAGGATGAAATTTTGTTGAGTGTTTTGAGAACTGGCATAACTAAAGTTGGAAACGGCAAAATAGTGAAAGTTTACTGTTAACTTTTCAGTTATGAAATATAAGATATTGTGACCTCTGATGAAACCATGATAACCTTGAATAATCTCCTGCATTATTGAAACCACAGAGCCACATTTCCTCACAGTAGAATATGAGTAAATTACAGCAAATTACTTAAATTGCTTCTAAACATGCACAAAAAAAACAAATCACAAAGACTGGTGCAAATTAACCAACTGTTGGTATAAAATGTCTTTTGGTGAAAACTCATTTTGCCAAAAAATATTACTGTCTCTCCAGGTCAACATAGAAAACTCATTTGGATCCCTCCCAGTATTCCCAGTGGCCCCAGACAGCACACCCTCCCCTTCCTCTGTACCAGCTGTTGAGTGAAATGTAAATATCGGCACAGTCTATTTTCAGAAATCCCCTGGGATTACCACTAGAAAAGGAAGTAGCTTTAATACATCTCTGTCTCACTGTGTACCCCATTACCATGATAACACCATCAACGTATTTCTGTGTTGCAGTCACCATACCATTCATGGGCAGCTGTGGAGGCTCTGGGACTTCTGGGAAAACAGGAGATGAAGAAAGAATCTGTGTAATGTCTTTCTGTTCAGGTCCAACATCATCCAAGACGTTTATTGTTCCTGTTTCACCATTAGCTGGCTGCGTGAGACCTGGGGACTTCAGAAAAACAGAGATTAGGTGTGATACTGTATTACTAAGGCTGCACTAAAGGCTAAGAGACATCCTCGTCGAAAGATGATCATCAAAAGTGAATCTTTCTGTGAAAAACGCCAAAGAATAAATAGATGGTTTGAATAAAACATGTTCAAGGTTAATGTTGATGCTGAATTGTAAAGTTTGCTTTTACAGTAGCATCCCAACCAAACCTTTGCAGTGCTTTGCAGCGTAGTAAATAAAAAAGGCGTTTACAGTAACAACCTTTTGATTTATGAGTTTTTTTAACAGTTAAAAAAAACGTTTATGCTTTTTGTTGTAAACTGTCAAAAGCTCTGATTTGATTAACTTCATTCTCTGATAAAAAGCTGAATAAACACACAGATTCTGTAGTTTTGTAGGTTGTGTGAGGACCTGGAACAACCAAAATGTCCTCTAAGCTGGAAAAATCTGGCTGGACTAGGATTTTATTTTTGGAGTACCAGAGGAACAGGGTCTAAATACAATGGACACCATGTTGTTTAGATTCCTCTTTTTGCAAAAACGTGTCATTGTTCCTACTCTTTGCAGAAACAGCCACAGTATATTGAGGTTTGTGGTGGTAATGTGACAAAATTGGAGACATTTGAGAATCTCAAGTCATTTAAATATTGCAAAGCAGTTGATTTGACTCTGGAGAAAACAGGCTGTAAAAACCAAACATCTGTGGGGTTTTATGTCATGCCAACAAATATTTAGACATTTAAAGAGTCGAAGGGGAACTGCTAGCTTTCTTGATTGAAAATATGTTTCCTCTATGGCTCAACCATCCACATGATATCACACTTTGTTTTAAGTAGGAACATTTTTACATTCTCTCTAGAGGATTTTTGATACTGTGTGCTAAAACTTCATTTAATTTTAAATTGTACGTACAATTTGGTGACATTTTTTTGCTATGACAAGAATGTTTGGTTTGTAGGTTAGCTAAAATGGGAATAAATCTGCTTAAATATAAACAAATTCCTCAGAATGACGAACCTGTGACGGACGTTTCTCCCTGACCTCGGTCGGCTCATCAGTGTCCGCTGCTCGGTCTAAAGTCTCTCCCATCTTCTGAGTGATGCTCTCCATCTTTTCTCTCACCTGGCTCACCCTCCGCTCGCTCAGCCTCACCAGCTCGGCCGTCCCGAGGGCGCTGCTGACCATCGCTTCGATCCTCCCAAGGGTCAGCAGGAGACCACTTCTGTCCGCCTGCGGCTCAGGTTGCTTTGACTCTGAGGCTGGGATATCCCCCCGGTCCCTCAGCGCCTTTTCCACAGCCGTGCCTTCTTCTTGACCCTCTGTGTCATCTCCTTTACGAACGTGGGGAACTTGACTTGTGAGTTCAGCACAGCCCTGTCCAGATTTCAGAGAGGTATGCAGGTGACAGACCTGCTTTTTCATGTCACTAAAGTCATCCTCCGTTAGCAGGAGCGTTGTATGTGTCTCATGGCGCTCCGGTAACACCGTAGCTTGCTCCCTGCACGTTGCAACCTCTTCTTCCGATTTCACCTGAACTACCTTCTTGGCCTCCTGACTCTGACTCCCAGTCTGGCCGTGCTTATGCTCCTTCTCCCAGGCTTTCTGCTTCTTCTTGTCTTTCTCCCCTTTCTCCTCCCACACAGACCTGTGCAGCTCAGGATCTCGGTGCCTGAAACCACCACCACAGCTCTATAAACATCCATTTTACACACTGTTATCTTGTTAATTTGTGGCATTAAAACAGCACTTATGCTAGACAGTAACTCTTGTGGGTTGTGTAATGGAGATACTCATAAATACCCTGTCAAAACCAGACACCACTTTTTATAAGCTGGGCCTTGAGACTAACATGTGCTGTCTCCTTTCTGCTACCATAACAGGAGAAAGCGGTAAAATCTCACATACACTTTACGAAGCTTCTGTCTCAGAGCTGCCTGTTGCTGCTGCCGGAAGAGAGAAGGCCTATCCTGCACGAGAGAGGATACTAGATGTAAAACTGTTGCTGCATTTCGCTCCAAACATCAGCTCAACACCCTCCCCCCATTCCACACCTCCCTCCTCACCTTCCTGTGCAGATGATGAGCTATTTCGTCACTTTTGGTCTTGTGAAGGACGTCCTGAATATCTTCTCGGTGTGAGTTGGCAACTGGATCACTGTTGCTACCTTGACCTCTGTGAAGCTGTTGCAGACAAAGGTATGAAGCAGATGGATCTACGTGAAGGAGAAGATCTTTGCTGTGGCGATGCCAACCTGCTGCATGTCCTGCATCTCGCTCTGCAACGAGCGCCGGTTTGGAGGGTTTAAACCGGGAGAGCTCGGCGGAGCGACACAGTGTCGGTCAAACCTGTCAGAATTTAGCACATTTCATTAAACCTCTCAGCTCCTTCAGTATCTCTGATGTTCATAAACAAGTTAACAAACTTCTATAAATCATGTGGTGTCTGTTGAGGGCAACAAATGTGATGATGTGTTTTTAAAAGGCTCTGGGATGCAGCTAAATCTGAGCTCTCCATTGGATGATAAGGTCATATCACTAACAATGACTTCTTTGTGTCACTTTTACTGATGACCAGCGTTTTGCTGTCAACTGTGTGAATATAGAATTTCCTCATTCTGCGCTTTGCAAGATAAAAAAAAAACCATAGATTGATTGCAATTCTTCAATAAAATAGATAAAAAGACACTTCCAAATGGTTTCCTTGTGTACAGACTTGCAACAGCTGAAATATTCATCTATTTCACAAAAACTGAAGCTTATTTTAGATCACAACGGCGTAAGAAACTGAGACAAACACAACCAAAATGTAATTTTTAAATATCTTTTTAATTAACTCATCCGAAATGAGCTGGCAGAGAGATAGTTTATATTCAAATCCTTCATAATCCCCATTTAAAGAGATATCCTGCTTCAAAGCATCTCCCTTCATGCAAGCTCACGCACAACTGATAAGAAACAAATTCACTTAATTTGATGGGAGACATTTTTTGGGCAAGGTTTGCTCTCAGCTTTGGACTTTTTTTTTAATATCTCCACACAAAACTCAGATAAACTGAATATAACTTTAATTAAAAAAAAAAATGCACCAAATGCATGAAAACTTTTATTGTGAGCGGATGTGTTTAGGAATGTGGAAAACCTGAAATGTTTCACAGTGCAGACTCCTCTATTCATAAAAAGGCGAAGGTTATATGTAATTAAATACTGATCCGTAGCTAAGGCTAAAATACAAGGACAGAAAACCGAAGCTCCGAGAGCCGGAGGCTCGTAGAGCGGCTGGTTCTGATGAGCTGGCAGCAGGACAGAGAGAGCAGACAGGCTAATAAAGCACAGAAAGCAGAGACACGGCTGCATCCACAGAGCTAATGAAAACAGGAAGACAAATGAAGCAAAACATGAAGAGAGCACATATTTACACTGACTAAGGCAAATATTTAAAATATACAGTGTAATAAATAAAAGACATGAGAAGCAAAGTTTTTACCTTGAAAGCAGGAGAAAAATAATATTCATCCAGTGAAAAGAAAATACATAAAAGACAGGATCTTAACGACAATAAAGCAAAATCTATTAATACCTCTAAGAAGGAAGCCAGGCAGAGGGGGGAAAAAAAGACAGAAAGTTTATATTCATTAGGATCCGGGTCTGCAGTCAGGAAAGACAGAACCAGATTCTGTCTTTCCTTTTTCTAAACATCTCACGGTTTAGTCATGTAGCTTCAACTTTGTGACTTTTGGTAAATAAGTATTATTAGTAACTGTCAGCTGTAGCATTGGTGACATTAATTACCTCAGAAGTTGCTGGTGTGAATGTTCCTGTAACCTCCGCAGCTCTGACAGCAGACCCTGAAACACCACAAACCAATAAACACGCAACAGCTAATACTCACGGCCAGAACGCGACTTCCTTCACCATCTGAGTTTTGTCTTTTCTCACGTTGTCTTGATCAACGTACCTCAATCATTTTGTAATTTTCCGCATGAAAGTTCTTCATCTTGTCCAGTAGGATGTTTTTCTAAACAGTGAAATTTAAACATAGAATAAAAAAAATAAAAAAAACACATAAAAAACTCTGAATTTATAATCCCCCTAATATTTACGCAACAGCCTAACCCTCGTTATTTCTTTGTGTTTCAGCATCACCGAAGCCAGAGTCTCCACATGTTCAGCCTGTAAAAACACACACACACACACACACCCCCACACACACACACACACACACACACACACACACACACACACACACACACACACACACTCCTGAAGTTACTTAAAACTCAAATCCCTGAGAAAAAGCCACACAGATCTGAACTTACACTTAATTCGGTGTTAGCCCTCGTCAATTTGTTGACACGCTCTTCAGCACATGCCCTTTCGAAGGATAGTCTTTCATTCTGTGTAAACGAAATCAACATTTGTGTTCATCCGAACTCACAGAAAGCTTGTAGTTTAAGTCTACATTACCTTGTCTTCAAGCACTCTAATGTGAAACCTCAAACGGTCAGTCTCGTTGGTCTGAAAAGGGATTTTCTAGTGTAAAAACGATGCCCAGCACATACAACAATTGCAGAGTGCTCTAATGTTGGACGTGCCAGTTGGGTGAAGCTCGTTTGGGTATGACTGGCTGTTTCCTGAACCTCCTTCAGCCTCTGACGAGTCTCTTCCAGCTCTTCTGTCACAGACTGGGCTTTGACGGCTGATCTTTGAGAACTGTACTCAGAAAACAAACAAACACAAGTAAAATAGGAAGTTTAAAGCAGTTTCACAATGCAAACTCCTCTATTCATACCTAGGCGGGCAGAAAAACATAAAAAGAGAATGCTGCTGTAGGTAAGTCTTCTACAGTATTGTATATCCTTCTGAAAACATTTTTACAATTTTTTGTTTTCCTAATTATGTGCGTGTACTTATGTATGTTTGTATGTATGGATAAAAGGATGGCTGGATGCCCTTTTGTTGTTTTTCTAAACTCTTTTTCAGTTTACTTCCACAGATGTGAAGTTTTGATAAATATATTAAATGTGTAAAAATGTGTACAGGCTGTGTCTCTAAAATTTAACGTATTTGCCCCAGTGTGCATTTGCAAGTTGTATTCTGCTTTTAGACGAATGACTTCTTCATCCCTGTATAAACTTTTAGCGCAACTTAGTGAAGGACTCATTTCACTGTGAATACTCTCAGAATGACCTGTCAGAAGTTGTCTCCTTTCTAAGAAAATATGACAGCTGGACATTTGTGGTGTTCATACTTGCATATAATTGTTTTGATCAAAGGACATGAAACATTCAGGTATCTGAAAGTCATAACCAAGGTTGAAATAACTGGAAAAACGTGAGGAAACATGGCTATGGGTATGTATATTTGAACCGTATATGACAGAAATTCATCATTGATACATACATGTTTGCCGTTGTCCTACAATTTTTAACATTACAACATGTTCCATTTTGTGTTAAATATCATGATGTAATTACTTTAACTGATAATGTTTAAAACTACATACATTTGTTCTGCAACATATGAGAGTAACGCGTGTTCTTCCTCACCTGAGCAGCTTGGTCTGCAGCTCTGTGATCTCCAGACTGAGCTGCAGGTTTTCGTCCTCGCACTGAGCCAGCATCCTCAGCAGGCTGCTGTTCTGCTCGCTCAGATGGTGACGAGCTTGCTTCAGATCAGACACTACATCAGACAGGTCCTTTTTTCCACTAAACCCAAATAAACAGTGGTGCTAAAAACGACTGAATACTCGAGATAAACACATTTAGTTTCTGAAGGAAGGAAACTACTAACCAGAAAGAATAATGGCCCTCTGCGGGAGCTGCACTGGCTTATAAAAAGGCAAATCCAGTCAATGTAAGTATTTTCCTATTCATTTCATTAAGATATTAAAATTGATTTGATCTTACCATTTACAGACACTTCAGAGTAGTCTGACTGAGACAAAGAAATGACATCTGAGCTGAAGAATAAAATAATTTCATTTGGTATGAAACTTAAAACAAAAATTATATTCTACACGAAACCTTATTTTATAGGTTCCACCTTCACAGCTCACTCTCACCTGTCTTCCCTGCACAGAGCAATCCACGTTCTCATCACGTATTGGAAAGTCTCCCTGCTCACGAGAGGGTCCTGAAGGTCAGGGTCCAGGAGCTGTCGCAGGGAAGCCAGTTTGTCCTCCCCTCCGCTCTGAGCTGTAAGGGTTTGCAGGTACAGCATGATGCTGGAGGCCAACACTTCTCCTCCCGAGGCTGAGACAAAAGCAGGAAAAAAAAAAATTGCAAAGGTCACAGACAATTACATCCTTATATGATCAGGTTCTGATGAAAATATGAGCAGCCAGATTACCTGTGTTGCTTTTATCACATTTATTATACATGATGTCCAGGAGCTCATTTTGAGAAAATTCATTTGTCTCTTTACTGTCTTGAAGCATCTTCCCTGCCCCACAGCTGTATGATGCTGGAACTTAAAATGGTGAAACATTATTGCATTTTTTGCATAGAGAAAGAAGAAACTCGGTAGTGCAACACCTACTGTCACAGCGGTCAGACTTTGTACTTTTCTCTCCCTCTGATAAAGGATTTCCATGCATCTTATAAATCTAAAGTTTAAAAAATTAAATATTGTATAAATACTGAAATATCTAAATACCAAGATGCAATTTTATTTTTATAAGATTTAAGATAAACTTTTGTGTATGGACAGGGCAACTGCAGGTTACATAATAAAAGGTGTAGAAAGAAAAAAAAATCACAAGTAAGAAAACCAAATTCATTATATAAAACTCCAACTGTATGGATTAATTAGAGCTAGATATCTAGAGAAGAAGCAACAAATAAAAAGTTAAATTCTTACTTTTCAGTCCAAGCTGATCTTTTGCCAAAATAAAATATATATATATACACCTAAAAAAAATAATTAGAAACCTGATTATATTCAAACTCTTCTTTCTTATCAATCTAATGTTTGTCTGATTTTCTGTGATGCTACATGAGCCATAAACGTGCTTTCCCCCTACTTCATGTCAAGAACAGATGACATCCTGGGTCCTCCTCTTGGGGAAAAAAAGGCTGCAGTCTGTGAAAAGACGGGGCTTTTTTTTTTATTAAAAACGTACGAGATCAACACAAATGCAGTCAAATTTTCGTTTTTATCAAACATATAAACACTGAAAAAATATACCAGATTTGGACATTTTCTGTGCCATCTTAAAAAAAAAAAACCCGTTTCAACAGTTACCTAGAGTATGACCCGAGTGGTGAGAGGCGAGGGAGGAGTTTCCTATCAGAAAGAAGAGGGAAACCAGAGAGGACTGGGAAGGGCGGTCCAAGGTTATTTTATTAATTGAGAAGTAGAACCCAGTGCTTCACACCTGTTCGTTTTACAGAAACGTGTAATTCATAACAATTAGACTGTCTCTCATGCGTATTTTTTATATTAATTTATGAGACTAAATAACATGCCAAATCAGTTTTTGCCTAAGTTGAATACTATCACGCTGTTTAAATCCTAAGGATTTCCAAGATTTGGATTTTTGAGACAATTAGTGGCCCCATCTGGTGATCTTTACCTAAACATTCTGAACGCGCACTTGTGTGGAGGCTGATGAACTACTTGAAATGATTTTTATACTCCGCCTTCATGATGCGCCGCTTGGCTCGCCGATGGATAAATGGTGCAGATGTCTTACACCAAGTTCCATTAATACAAAACGTAAAAATAAAAAAAGTGCCCTTATTTGTTCATAGTTGTTTATAATTGCACTTTTATTATAGCGTATTGCCCGTATTATTATTTATAATATTATTATAAATGTCTGAGGGGAAACTTTAAAGAGGGAACTTTTAATTTTGGTTCCCCTTTAATCCAGCCGGACCTAATTTTGGTGACACCATCCGTTAAGTAGCTACCAGCTACTAGCAAACAACGGAGTGGATGTTTTCTGCTCGTTTTTTTTTTATTTTTTTTTTTACCAAACAAAACTAACTTGAGAGGAAGTTACCTTCTGAATTCAAAATGTCTCGGGGTTCCATTGAGATCCCTTTACGGGACACCGATGAGGTAAATATACAAATTTTATGTGTGTTTTATTGCAGATGTTTCTAGGTGAACCCTTCTGTGATGTTAGCAGTTGATGCTAACTGAAGCTACATTGAACTCAGCTTTCCTCGAAGCTCGGCTTTAAATAATGTGATATCTGTGCTTTAAATTTTGATATTTGCAACATAATCTGAATTTAAACAATTTACAGTCATGTGCAACTAGTATTAGAAAAGATGATCAGATCGACAAATTGATGTCTATTTAGTTGTTTTTTTTTTTACCAGCCTATGTCTCATTTATTGTGTTGCTCGTCAATACACTAAAAGTTCAAATATTTTTTTCGTGTGATTTACTATCTAGTATATTTAAGTCTACAGCTTCTGAGATTAATATGATAATAAACCTTAAATATTTTGTAGATTTAATTTAAACAGGCGTAAACACCAAGTATGACAAGTATTTTATTAATTATTTTTATTTTTACGTCGATATTAGCCGTATGCTGTGAAACAAGATAAAAATTAAAAAAATATATATTAAAACATTATATGCTATGCTGATGTAAAACATACAGCTTTATGTTAATTTGAAGTAATGCTAAAACAATGATGGCATGACATGTAGTTCCGAGGCTACATTAGGAAGTTTGTAAACAGCATTATATAGAGAGAAGAGCTTAACATAATGTTATACAACTTGAGTTAAAATGTATGCTCATTTAACATCACCAAATCTACATAAACTTATTAACTGATCTATTTATGGTTTTGATTTGAAAGGAAAATAAAGAGTAGTGTTTGTTGCTTGTTAAAGATTCAGTTGTCAAATTTGTTGCTAGTAAATCAATATACCCAAGTAGCAAAAATTGCCTTAATTAATCAGAGTTGATTAGAAACGTCGTAATCATTACATCGATCATTGTCGCACGTCTTTAATGCCAAACTCGGAGGATCAGCATCACAACTTAAACAAACTGTGCTGCGCAGGTTATTGAGCTCGACTTCGACCAGCTGCCGGAGGGAGATGAGGTTATCAGCATCTTGAAGCAGGAACACACACAGCTGCACATCTGGATCGCTTTGGCGGTAAGTCACTTCTGTAACCTGAAATGATTACTTTATTTCCACATATCGTGTGGGGAATGTAAAGACTTGCAAGATTGACATTGATTAGAATAAAACATGTGAAGCAGCATGAAATTGGATATTGTTTTTGTGTGTGTGTGTGTGTGTGTGTGTTTTTTTTAGTTGGAGTACTACAAGCAAGGCAAAACAGAGGACTTTGTCAAGCTTTTAGAGGCAGCGCGTATCGATGGAAACCTGGACTACAGAGACCATGAGAAAGACCA